ACCATTACCTCTGTCATCACCCCAAAGGAGACTTGTACCCATTAAGTAGTCACTCCCCCTTCCTCTCTCTCCCACCCCCTGTTCCCAGTAATTGGCTTTCTGTCTCTGTGGATTTACCTATTATGGATATTTTATAAATATGGAGTCGTATACTATGTGGTCTTTTTGATAGGGCTTACATGGGGGCGCCCACTGTTATTGTGCTAACCTTGCATTGCTTAAGAGATGTCTTGTTTTCACTGCTAACACCTGCTTTGTCAAGGTTACATCTTAAGGCTGCGTGACCACCAGCACCAGCTTCCTCAGAACTATGTGTACTACATGACAGCCAGACTTCAGATACCGAATATAAGAGGGACCCACAAAAAGAACAAGGAGCTGGTATTTTTCTAGGACCAGTCTTTCTCTCGTTGCTCTTTAATAAATTTTATTTTCTTTGTCTGACTCCCCGGCTTGTTCTCTTTTTCTCTGCACTCACCTTAACACTTTTGTGTCTGACTTCTTTCACTTAGGAGTGTGTTTTTGAGGGTCATCCATGTTGTTTCTTGCATCAGAACCTCATTCCTTTTCAAGGCTTTCTCATGGAATGTTTCCCCATCCATCTGCTGGTGGACATTTGGGCCGTTTCCATCTTTTGGAAATTGTGATCAGGGTTTTTTAATTAATTCAAGTCATTTATTTGCTCCTCTGTGAGCAGAGATGGAAGCGGAAGTCATGTTAGTAGCTGAGACTCAAGGAAGTGTATGAAGAAGAGAACAAAGGTGATATACAACCTTGGGAAGAAGTGAAAAAATTACAACCAGCTTCTCAAACATGAAGTTGCTTGAGAATCACTTTGTTCCACATCCAAATTTGCCAGTGCTGTTGCAGACCTTCCAAACCAGCCCAAAGATTGAAGTTAGATATTCAATCCATTTTTGTTTTGGTTATTTCCTCAGCTTTTTTTTTTCTTTCAGAAGCTTCCTGTTGTCATTGTTGTTATTGAAAATACTCCTTTCAGCTTCTTCTATTATTTAGCAAGAAATTGGGCTATTCTGATCTTAGAAACATCTAACTTGGAGGATGGGCCCCACGCAAACTTTTCCCTGGGTTTACTTGATTGATTGGGCTTTTCATTTTTATTTTGTGAGTAAAGAGGCAAGGACATTGAGAGTGGAGCGAGGCTACTGCCATGTGTGTTGAAACCTGATCATGCATTCCTTTTATAGACAAAGGTGGCGAAGGGGAAGGTATTGGTTATCGGCACCTATTGGTTGCATCTGGTGTCTTCAGGATGGCCCTGAAAGGCCAGCTGTTTGCTTTTCCAGGCAGGGCCCCAGCTGCAGGACTTTTGCTGTCTGCCATCTGGGCTCAGGAAGGACTGGTTGGCAAGACTTGTCCTTGGAGCCCATTTCCCAAAGTCTTGGGGCCATGCTCACCTCCTTCTCTGTGGCCTATTCCCTGCTTGTTTAGGGGTAATTGAGGGTAAATCAGATACACCGTTTCCTGCTTCTGTGCCAGCTAGTTAATATGGCACTACACCCAGATTAAAAAATGCCTAACATTTAAAGGGGGCTTTGCTAGTGTGGAGAGTTTTAGGCAAGCCACTTATGCTGGGGGGTTATTAGAAAAGTCATTCTTATCATAGGGACCAGCAGTTGCACTTCTTGGTGTTTATTTACCCAAATGAATTGAAAACTTCTGTCCACTCAAAAGCCTGCACACGAATGTTTATAGCAGCTTTATTAGTAATTGCCCAAACCTGGAAGCAACCAAGATGTCTTTGTGAATAGAGACATAAGCTGTGGTACATTGAGATAATGGAATAATTTGCAACTCTCAAAAGAAATGTGTTACCAAATCATGAAAAGAAACGGAGGAATCTGAAGTGCATATTACTCAGTGAAAGAAGCCAATCTGAAAAGGCTACATACTGTATGGTTTCAACTCTATGGCATTCTGGAAAAGGCAAAACCATGGAGTCAGTGAAAAGATCAGGAGTTTCTAGGGGTTAGTAGGGAGGGAGGGATGACCAGGTGGAGCACAGAGGATTTTTAGGGCAGTGAAACTACTGTGTATGGTTTTATAATGGTAGATATATATCATTCTATATCTGCCAAAATCCGTAGAAGATACCACACCATCGGACCCTAATTTAACCTGTGGACCTTGGGTATTATGCAGTGTCATGTAGGTTCATCACTTGTATCTAATGTACCCTAAGGCAGTGTGAGATGCTGATAGTGGGGGAAGTTGCCTGTGTGGGGGGTAAGGGGTATGTGGGAATTCTCTGTATTTTCCACTCAGTTTTGCTGTGGACCTGAGAGTGTTGTGAAAAATAAAGTGAAAAAAGGAAGCATGCCTTTATATACTGTATTAGTTCCCTGTTACTGCTATAACGAACTACCACAAATCCAGTGACTTAGAAGAACACCAGTGTAGCCGGGCTTGGTGGCTCAGCCTGTAATCCCGCGCCTTTGGGAGGCTGAGGTGATTGAATTGCCTGAGCCCGCGGGTTCGAGACCCACCTAGGCCACTTGGTGAGACCTCTTCTCTACAATAAATCAAAAAAATTAGCCGGGCGTGGTAGCACGTGCCTGTAATTCCGGCTACTCGGAAGGCTGAGGCGGAAGGATCGCCGGAGCCCAGCAGGTCGAGGCTGCGGTGGCCGGGAGCGGCCACTGCACTCCAGTCTGGGCGACAGAGACTCCAACTCAAAAAAAAAAACAACAACAAAACAAAAGAACAAAAAAAAAGAAGTCCAGGTGGTTTTAACTGGGATGAAATCCAGGTGGTGGCGGGGCTGTGGTCCTTCTGGAGGCTTCAGAAGAGAATCTGTTTTCTTGCCTTTCCAGCATCTAGGGGCCGTCTTCATTCCTTGACTCGTGGCCTTGTCTCCATCTTCAAGCCTGCGGCGTAGCATCTTCTAGTCTCTCTCTGTGACTGCAACCTCTGCTTTTTTCATCTCATGAGTGGCAGCCACTAAGGGCTGTTGAATTCTAAAGTGAGACAAAGTCTCGCAAAGGGATGGTTTAGACCGAGAGGGTAGAGGGAGCTCTCAGGCTTCCTTTGGTGGTCTTTTTCCACGGTCTGGCTTAGCTGAACTGGTCAGTCTCAGCTCCTGTCCTATTGAGCTGAGGCATTTCCAGTGTTTCGGGAGACGGAGGCAGATGCGGTTTTCCGTGGGTGGTACTAAGACTTTGCTGGGTGCATTTGGCCTAGAGCAAGTGTGAATGGCAGCTGGCAGAAGGGAATTCATGGATTTATGCATGAATTTGTTCTTTATTTTTGCTGTTGTAATACCTGGATCTGCCTTGGAGATGGGTGATACAGATGATTTTTCAAGGCAAGGCATAATTAAGTAATTTTTAGAAACTCATTCAACATTTTATACGTTGGTGATGGCTGTCATGTTATTATGATGGGTAGTGGGTTGTACTCTAGCCAAATGATGTCATGGCATCTATAAGAGTAAACAACCATAGGTGGGTGTTTAATTTGGTCAAAGCTGGATAACTTTTTTCTTCTTCTTCTTATGTTTTTGAGATGGGTTCTTACTATGTTGCCCCGACTGGCCTTGAAGTTCTGGGCTCAAGCTATCCTCCTGCCTCAGCTTCCTGAGTAGCTGGGACTACAGGCAGGCCACCATGTCTAGCTCATCTGCGGGAGCGCCTTTTATTAAATTGACTTTGCTGAGGTTTGAGACCCAGTCTCATTTTTCTCTTCTCCTTCACATTTCACCTCTCATTGGGTTGGTTATAGTCTTGCTTGGTCTGTTCGCTGGATCTGCCACGTATTCCCTATGGGACCTTGAGCAAATTACCTTACTTCATGATTCGATTTCTTTATCTACAAATAGCAATAGAAAACAACATCTGCCTTCTGGAGTTGTTGTGATGACAAAGTAAGATGTCAAGTGTAAAGCTTGGTCCTTGGAAGTAGTAAGTGGTCAATAAATATTAGCTATCTTCTTCCTTTTTAAAGGTAAGAAAGTTGATGAGACCAATATGACATTGACTTACTAGTTGTCCTCAAAATTTTCAAAGCCTGTCACATATTATACAGGAAAGACATATTCTTTGGTGCTCTACAGAGCAGAACTACAGTTAATAGGCAAAAATGGAAGGGATACAGATTTCAGCTCAACATAAGGAAGGACTTTGTAATAATTAGAGTCATGTTATAATGCAGTGGAACTCATGAAGTAGGAGCAATTTGTCTTAGAAAGATTCAATTAGAATAGGATTTTCAGCAATGTTATTACTGAAATTTGGGGCCAGATATTTCCTTGTTTTCAGGGGTGTGCTATGCATTGGAGGATGTTTATCCGCCCCTTTGCCTCTATTCAATGAATGCCAGTCACAACCTCTCCTTACCTTGCTTGCAGTGTGACAACTAAAAACATCTTCAGACATTGCCAAATGTCCTGCAGAGGGCAACGTCATTGCTGGTTGAGAATCACTGAATTATAGGCTAGATGACAGCAAACTAGACTGCATCCTTTCAAGGTCAACTCTATCCTATCCAAAATTGAGTTCTTACAACTGTAGCTCCAGGAATTCTGGGGGTGGCTTTTTGGTTTAGGATAGTACCTACCATCTGGGGTTAAAGACCTAACTCGAGAAATTGCAAGGTTCAAGGCCGGGCTCGGTGGCTCAGCCTGTATTCCCAGTGCTTTGGGAGGTTGAGGTGAGTGGATTGCCTGAGCCTGTGGGTTCGAGACCCACTTGGGCAAATTGGCGAGACCTCATCTCTACAATAAATCAAAAATTAGCTGGGCGTGGTAGCACGCGCCTGTAGTTCCAGCTACTTGGAAGACTGAGGCGGAAGGATCACGGGACCCCAGCAGGTCGAGGCTGCAGTGGCCGGGAGTGGCCACTGCACTCCAGTCTGGGTGACAGAGTGAGACTCCAACTCAAAAAAAAAAAAAAAAATTGCAGGGTTCAGAAGGCAACTGAGGTCCTGCTTGGAAGGCCTTCTGTGGTTGGTTTAATGACTGTTGCTCCTTGTGGTTTTTGTAGGTTATGTTGGCAGCTTCCTACTGGTCTCTCCTGGCCCCTGCGGTCGAGATGGCCATGTCCTCCGGGGGCTTTGGGGCCTTTGCCTTCTTCCCGGTTGCTGTTGGCTTCACCCTCGGAGCTGCTTTTGTCTACTTGGCTGACCTCCTGATGTCTCACCTGGTGAGTACTTTACTTTGGGCTGTCATGTCAGGATATGTCCTGCTCTGTGTAATAGACTTGTTTCTGTTCAAGTTTGACATGTCTTGGTGGTATTCTGTTCAAGTTTAATGTCTCTGTTAAGTAGCCAGTGGTATTAAAACAGATAACGAGGCATTAGAGGGATTGAATGGTGATTTCTTCTTTAAAGAAAATAATCTCTTGGTGATATGACTAATCATCTCCTTATTTATATTCTGGTAAGTTCAGATTCCATTTAAAATATAGGGTGCAGCTGACGTGCCATGTGACTTCATATATACAAGGGGACCTAGAACTGGGAGGAGTAACTGTCACCATGGTCCTGACCCTTGATGAGCTTACGATGTCATCAGGAAGATGACAGTCCCTCTACCCACAGCATAAATCCTTTGCCAAAGCGTCACATCCCTGAGGACTGATAGCAGGGTGAGGCTAGAGTCTGGGCAGCGGGGGTCTGAGCTTGAGCTCATGTCTGTTGTTCACTGGCTGTGTGTCCCTAGGCTTCAACTTTTCTTGCTGTAATTTGAGGATAACTACCCTGGGGAACTATAAAGTTTAACCAAAAAAAGAAGGAATTTTAGGAGACCAATGCCTTATCCATTAGGCAACCGGGACTTCTAAAAAAGGCATTTTAAAAGGCACTGGGATTGAGGGTGAGCCAGAGATCGCAGGGCTTTTTGCTGATATAGATCTTGTGAGATGGGTTTGGGAATGAGCATGTACCTTCTTACAGAGAAGCACACTGTGAACCACAGCCAGAATATGACTTGATTGTTGAGAAGAGCGAGCCGAGACCATGCGACAACGATAACCGCATGCCACTGGCTAAAACCCTGTCATCTGCATACACTGTGATCAGTAGAGGAAAGGGGTCCATGCCAATAACAGTGTGCAGGCACACTCGGCCTTACCAGACACAATGCCTGGCAAATACTAGGGGTGGGCAAGCACCCCAAGCTGGGGCTTGGATTTCCTGCTAATCCACCAAGAGAAGCGGCTAAGGCAGGACTGCATGGGGAGAATGGGGCCAAAGCCTCTGTCTTCTGTTGGCTGGTGATGAGACAGGATTAAGTCAGGCTTACTGGAGTTGACTGATGTGTACCCCAGGAGGTAGAATGGAGTGCTCTTTCCTGATTCTCTGCCTTCTTTCTTGCCTTACATTCCCAACTGGAGAAAGAGAAGGAATAATTCTTAGGAACTTGGCCTTTGGGCCCAGGGACTCATGAGAAACTGAGTCCTTGTGTCATAGAAGGACTAAGCTTGGACCAGATGGCTGGGTGTGACACGTGGGGCAGCTATGCTATTGTCTTAAAGAAGAAGCCATGTTTTTTGTTTGTGTGTTTTTTTGGTCATTAAGAGATCGAGTGGCAGTGCCTGTTTCTACCCCCTGGATATAAGGCTTCCTTGCCGTCAGTTCTATCTGTGCATTAGTACTTTCCAGAGGCCCTGGATGTGGGCTGCCGTATTCTGTTCTCAAGGCCTCCCTGGTTGTGTGTGAACTTGCTGTTGGAGTGTATTCTGCTTGCCCTGGCAGGAAGACCTGGTGGCCAGTGGCCTTAATGCTCGAGCAGCAGGCAGAGATCTGTTCATCGGCTTTACACGGGCACTGCTGGGTCTCCTTCTGCCCTTCTGCCCTGCGCCCAACTGGACTTCTAAGAGTCTCTTTTAGAGGGCTCTGTGCAGTCATGGTGGGTCCTTACTACAGAGACTGTGGGCGGGTGGGGTGGGGTGGTGTCAGGTGTGTATTTGATCAGCTGTCCGAATGTGGGGGCTTTCTCTGGGCAGTGTAAATAGTCATTGGCCAGTTTGTGCTGTGCAGCAGTGATTTTTTTAAAAAAACCCTTTTGGTTCATGTTTGTTCTAATATGTGTTTTGAATATGGAGAAGATCCCATATGGAAAGCTCTGGATAGGCTCTGCAGAAAATCGAGAACAGTTTGGGAGCAGTTTCTGGGAAGCAGATGCAAGGACTCAGGATGGGCATAATCACCACGAACGGCCAGAACCTTACTGGTTGGCAGAAGGATCAGCTTGACAGGGAACATCTGTTCTGGGGTGTTCTAAAAGAAATTAATTCTTGCTGTTGATGCGAGAAGGGGGATTTGTCTTAGACGGCCTTATAAATAGAGGGGAATTATTTATAATTGCTACAGCCATTGAATACAAATGTTGTTGAGAGAGTCGTGCTTGGAAGCAGTCTGCTGACCTCCACTCTGAGGCCAGCTCAAGCTTGTTTTCTTTGGTGTAACCTGCTATTCATTTGCTTGCCAAACCCCCAAAGGGCGGCAGTTCAGATCCATGGAAGATTCTCTGTGGAGCCCGAGTTAGTGGGTTTTTATCTGGATTCCTCCTGGTTGTCCAGCATTGATTGAGCCCCCACAGGGGATATCATCTCTGGCGGGAGGGTGGGGAGGGCAAGAAGCTGTTTTCAGGACGTGTTGCTCTTGGAATTTGTGAACCGGAGGCTTTGGGGGATGTGGGAAGTTCTGTGGGCAAATTCAGCTTCAGATCTCATCATCCCACCTTACGACACAACCCCGCTGTTCAACAGATGGCCCCAGGAGTAGGAGGAGGCTGGGAGAGCAAAAGGCTTTGGCTGCAGTTCTGCCCGAGCCTCTCGCCCTTCAGAACAGGCCCCATGATAAAGGGGGCCTGTCTGCAGGAAGCCCCAGCATCTCCTTTCTGTCCCCTGGAGATACTTCTTCTTGGAGTTTGTTATTTCACCTGGAGAAATGAGCCAGCGTGGAACATGGGGCCGAAATGTGGCGGGAGGCATTCTGCAGCAGTTCCCTGGTTGAGCCCTTGCTGTGACCACCCAAGCTCAGGTCCCGGGACCTGGGAGCCTCAGCCATCACCTCTGCTTATACATTTAGGATGTGATGGGCAGCCAGACTCTTGGGTTGGCAGGGAGGAGACGGCTCACATCGGATGATGTTCTTTACCTCCATTTCTGTGGTTCATTTGTCCCCCTGCTGGAGCTGAAGCAAAATATTGCTCACGGAGAGGGCTTTACTCGTAACAGCCTATCAGGTTGAAGCCATCGCAGCTTTGTTAACTTCAGGTGCATCAAATTCATCTCCGAACTCGGTGTTTATATTCACTTATTTATCTGGGAGTCGAGAAGGCTCATGCAATAACTGTTAATGGGAGGTGAATTGACAGGGATTTATAGACTTTGCCAAATGGCGTCTTAATGAAAGGTAGAAAGAGGCAGAGCAAGGGAGGTGCAGCCTGCCAGGCCTGGAAGAGGCTGGCAAGGGGTCGGATAATGGGAAATGCTCATCTCGAGCCCGATATTCCCCCTGGGATGGTTCTAGGGAGAAACAGAATGGACATTGAACAGCTGTTTGGAGACACTGACGTTTTTATGATCTTTGTGGTTTTTCTTCTATATCAAGTCAAGGGGTGGCAGTAGGTGGGGAGCCTTGACCTTGAGTCTAAAGCAGTGATTTTCCACTGGGAGGTTGACAGATAAGGTGGGGGACGAGGGTAGTGTCTGTCCCCGAGGCCTCATTCTTTCTCTGTAGCCATATTAGGATCACATCAGTATAATACAGAAATCTCATTATGAACATTTTATTTTTTTTATTTTTATTTTTTTTGAGTTGGAGTCTCACTCTGTCACCCAGACTGGAGTGCAGTGGCCACTCCCGGCCACCGCAGCCTCGACCTGCTGGGCTCTGGCGATCCTTCCGCCTCAGCCGTCCAAGTAGCCGGAACTACAGGCGCGTGCTACCACTCCCGGCTAATTTTTGATTTATTGCAGAAGTGAGGTCTCAAATGTTATGTGAAGGGCCAGGCACAGTGGCTCGTGCCTATAATCCCAACACTTTAGGAGGCCGAGGTGAGGGAATTACTTGAGCCTAGGAGTTCAAGACCAGCCTGGGCAACATAGTGAGACTGAAAAATGAAAATATTAGCCAGGTGTTGTGGCATGTGCCTGTGGTCCCAGCTACTCGGAAGGCTAAGGCAGAAGGATTGCCTGAACCCAGGAGGTTAGGCTGTGGTGAGCCATGATGATACCACTGCACTCCATCTTGGCTCAAAAAAACCCTAAAGGTATGTAAAAATCCCTTCCCCATCTTCTTCCTAGACCAACCATTTTGTTATCATAGTTGGAGCACTTCCTGTTATCTAACCCCTTGCCAGCCTCTTCCAGGCCTGGCAGGCTGCACTCCTTTACTCTGCCTCTTTCTACCTTTCATTAAGACACCATTTGGAAAAGTCTATAAGTCCCTGTCATTTTGCCTCCCGTGAACAGCCTTGCATGAGCCTTCTCAACTCCCATCATTCTGGTCTTTCCTCATCCTTTTGTTTTTGTTTTTTTTTTAAGGAAAAGCAATTATATGGCATTTTTTAAAATATTGAAATATAAACACTTTCCCCATTTGCTTGTATTGTTTGAATATATAGGCTAAATCAACTTTCTAGCAATGGGAACCCTGTCTCCATCAAGGTCTTCCTCGTCTTCCCTTATCTATGTGCATGCTTCACATTTTCCACGGTTGGAATCAGGCTGCGCATGCTCGTGTTATTTTAAAATTAAAAATGATTTTTCTCTAGGGGCATTTTAATAGTATCATCTACCTGCATTCTGCTATCCTAGTGTAGTTGTCAACAGTGCCCTCCTCTTTAGTAGGTAGATTGCTCTATGCTTTTACATATGTTTCTACGTACATCTGGAAATATAATTTTGTTTGTGTTTTATGAAAAACAAATGGCAACATACTGGCTGTGTTGGTGTTACTTGTGCTTTTCTCAGCTTGCTTTGCATCTTGGCAGTCTTTTCCTGGGAGATGCGTGCTCCCTCCCCTGCCCCCTCCTCTCTTGGTATTTGACATCTTGAGGAGGCAGGTACTTATGGCTCTGAGGCTCTCCCCTAGTTGAGGGTACCTGGCTAAAAGTCCTTCCCAGACAGGCTCCAGGAGGGCAGGGGAGGCTAGCGGATGGGTACCACTTTCTTCTCATTTCCTCCTTAATTTC